GCGACATACCACGCGCCACTCACGCGCTTTGCCTTTCCATCTTGCTGCCAAAAGTGTCTCTCTAGGAACGAATTTCACACGTTTTACACGGCAGATGTTCTATCCTCATTTTCTGTTGTTTGTTCCTCGATGTTTCGACATTATCATCAAAATTAAACTTTTCCTTACCGTTATTATTCGACAATCGTATTCCATGATTTAGAATGATAGCTCATGAGTGATAGCTCTTGCTTGATAGCAAATGAGTCGATCTCCGTACGAGAGGATACCCGAAGGTGAGAGAATTGCAGGTGAGAGAAACCGGGCAAGCGCATCGCGAGGCATATTGTTACGCACCTGGATTTGACTACTATCGTTATTTCGAAGTAAAATGCGGTCAGTGGATGTATGGCAGCTTTTTCGATTCCGAGACTTTTGTAACCGAAAGTACTGTATATGTTTCTACCGGTAGAACGTACGAGAAACATGTTCATATTGTTCGTAATATCTGGACCGTGATAAAATAATCGAACAACTAATCGAATTTACGAATCCTCGATGTCGTTCTTATCTGTCCACCTGATCACATCATTTGGAGCAGCGACGTCTATTTTGTCGCAAACACTCAGGAATAATCTTTCCTGTGATAAATCTTTCAGTAAATCTATTCGGAAATCTCAGGCCATCCTCGTGATAAGCTGCTGCTGAACGCTTTTCAAGGATTCGTCATCCTTGCGTTTGGGACGAGATCTAAGACGGGAAGCATGTCGTTGCATTATCCCCAAGGATATCGGTATCGTCCGGCTAGTAAAGCTGTCGGATCAGGAAATGGAGAACAAGGTTCCGACAGTGATGTTGCCGAACTTAGTGATCTCGAAGATGACGAGGATGAAGATGGAGGCGGCCAGTCGACCAATAGACGTATTGAACAAAACGTGGAGGAAGAGGAGGATGAGGATAATAACGAAGATGATGATGATGACGAGAATGACGAAGACCAAGAAGATGAAGAGGAAGATGAAAATGAAGAGGACGATGGAGTAGATGATGTGAATGGTGACGAGTTATCTTATCCTGGTTTCGTGCCGGTTGCATTGCGATATCTCGACCAGAATACACGGCCGCGCAACTGGTGTCTGGCACTTATCACTAATCCATATCCTTTTTGATCGCAATAGCACTGGCAGTCATTTAGACGGTGATATCATTATTTTTATTCTTCTTTTCTTTCTGAAAACTTTTATTATAATTATTCCAGTCAGCGAGACGAAATAAGTAAGTTTCATTGTACGCTCTCTGTGTGCTATTATAATTTTTTCGAACGTCTAGCTACGTAGCTTCGTTTAACTACGTAGCATTTTTTTTCTTTAGTGTAAACGGGCGAATTCTTTCTCATCGAATATTTGTCTTTCTCTATTTCTCTTCTATTTTATCTATTTATATATCTATCTTTTCTCAATTTCGATCGTGAAGCATTTTTTTACAAACATAGAGTATTTCAAGAGTTTGTATGTTGCTTAGATTTATTGATATAGAGTATTCTATCGTATCAAAAAGCCACTCAATGCATGAATCTATCTAAAACAATAAAAAAAGTTCAAGTAAATATATGTTTCATTTGCCTTGTTTTTAAGTTATAGTGATAAAAATAATTGAATTAATTCTATTATATTGAAATGGAATTTAATATCCCTAGATTCATCATATTCAGAACATATTTTGATAGTTCGAAATACTTGAATAATTAAATTATATATAGTATAAGAAGATTAATAATTGTATAATATATTACATAAAAATTATTTTATTATATTATATAATTATTATTAATTGTTTCTTTTATAAAATAAAATTATTATTATTGAAATTTTACAAATTATTACTGTAAATAAAAACTCTAATAAATTCTCTTGTATAATACTATTTTTTATTCTAATGAAACGAAGAAAATTTTAAAAATTAT